CAGGAAGTTTTTCTAGCTAAGCAGGAAGGAGCTCTCCTGAGATACATAGACACAAATGTTCATGGTGAGCCTTCTGGCCCCAGTGAGTATGTGAGTGGTGAGGAGATGCCTGATCTTCCAATTAGTCAGAGTGCAGGTGACCTGGTAGCTACTGCAGCATCCATATCTCCATCTCAAATGGATGTAACCATGCACATTCCTGAAGAAAAGTGTAGATCAGAGAAGAGTGTGGTGGAGGCCACAAGAAACAGCTGCTGCTGAGTTTAGTTCCTTAAGTCTAGATGATCCAGGACTGTGGACCCACTTAAGCAGTAGCCTGAGGGACTTCCTTGTACTGCATGGGCCACAGCAAGTGAAAAACTTCATGTTCCCCAAAGACAATGAAAATAGAAGTTTCCATCCAACACATTACTGGCATGAAATCCCCAATGGTGACAAAGTGGAGAGGCCATGGCTTATGTACTCAAAAACCCAGAATTCTGCATACTGTTTTTGTTGCAAACTCTTCCAGTCTAACATTCCAGCCACATTGGGTTCTATAGGAACAAAGGACTGGAAAAATCTGGCATGCCATGAGAAGGCACCAAATCACCAGAGAGCAGTCCATAGGTGGAAAGAGCTTGAGATGAGACTAAGGTTAAAGGCCACCATCAATGATCAGCATCAAGAGAAGATTGCATCAGAGTCTCTTGACTGGCAAAATGTTCTGAAAAGGTTCATTGCCATTGTGAGAATGCTTGTTACCCAAAAGCTAGCACTGCGTGGCACTTCAGATCAGCTGTATGTGCCAAACAATGGAAACTTCCTTCCTTTCTTTAAACACAAAAAAGAAGCTTGCAAGAAGTGGAAGATTGGACAAATGACCAGGGAAGAGTATAAAAATATTGCTCGGGCAGGCAGGAGTGAAATCAGGAAGGCCAAAGCACAATTGGAATTGCAGCTAGCAAGGGATGAGAAGGGTAACAAGAAGGGCTTCTACAGATATGTTAGCAACAAGAAGGAGGTCAGGGAAAATGGGATCCTTACTGAATGGCAGAGGCAACCTAGACAGATGATGTGGAAAAAGCTGAAGTACTCCATGCTTTTTTTGCCTCAGTCTTCACAGACAGGTCAGTTCCCAGACTGCTGAACTGGGCAGCACGGTATGGGGAGGAGGTGAGCAGCCCTCAAAGAACAGGTTAAGACTATTTAGAAAAGTTGGACATGCACAAGTCCATGGGGCCGGATGCAATGCATCCGAGGGTGCTGAGGGAGTTGGCTGATGTGATTGCAGAGTCACTGGCCATTATCTTTGAAAACTCGTGGCGATCAGGGAGGTTCCAGACGATTGGGAAAAGGCTAATGTAGTGCCCATCTTTAAAAAAGGGAAGAAAGAGGATCCTGGGAACTATAGGCCAGTCAGCCTCATCTCAGTTGCTGGAAAAATCATTGAGCAGGTCCTCAAGGAATCAATTCTGAAGCACTTAGAGGAGAGGAAAGTGAGCAGGAACAGTCAGCATGGATTCACCAAGGGCATGCGATCCCCCCTTATAAATTAAAAACACTTTTTATATTTAACACTATTATAAATGCTGGAGGTGAAGCGGGGTTTGGGTGGAGGCTGATAGCCTCCCCATGTAATAACCTCACGACCCCCTGAGGGGTCCCAAGCCCCAGTCTAGATAATACTTAGTCCTGCCATGAGTGCATGGGACTGGACTAGATGACCTCTCGAGGTCCCTTCTAGTCCTATGATTCTCCTTGCCATGCCACCTTGCAGTTCCATCTACTACTAACAAATTTTATCTGTTGTGTAGAGATTGTGAAAAAAAATCAGAAAACCCTGAGTTGTGTCACAGTACTGAAAGCAGTTATGCTTTGGGAGGAGATATGTCCTTTATTTTACCCATTCCCTTTAAAAGATTCACTAATGCTGTTTCACTAACATTCAATTTATTCAAGAATTGTTTGGTGTAGTTACAGGGCTAAGGTCCCACCAAAGTGGAAATCAAGATGGAACCATAACTAGGATGCCTTCAGATGATACAGATTTAATGAATAATCCCCTGGAAGTACTTGCATTCATCTTGTAGATGATGAAGACAGTTAGTTCAGTTCCTAACAATCAACCATCGTATCTGGAAAAAGATCCCAGTGCCTCTGCAACAGCCCTGGGAACACCCATGATTAGTGTGCATGTAGCATAGGTGTTTTCTACCATCAGTCCTCCAAAGATTCTCAAGATTAAACCTGAGCTGAGGTACAATCTACCCCATCCCATCAAGGGAAAAGGAGAGGTTCTTTCTATATCCCGGCACAGGTTAAGAGCAGATGTAGCATGTTCATAGCTTGACCCACAAACACACCATCCTTTATTAGAATGACAGGATATGAACTACTAATAAAATGAGGTTAAAAAGTTTGGGAAACAAGTTAGGAGAAACTGATAGGATTAGAAAGGGAAAGCAAAGAGACAAGAGGTGTGGAACAGAAGGAATACAGGAGATTTGGGGAAGCAAAAAGTGGGTGGCTGCAGGTAGGCTGAGCAGTCAATACATTGCTGCTGGAGCCATATTTTGTATAGCAGAATTTGATAGCTCAAGCATATGCCTTATAGGCTGAAGCAGCAGCAATGGTCAGAAACTCTAAAGCTTTGTCTACACTAGCACTTTTGTCCACCAGGGGTGTGAAAAAACACCCCCCCCCCCTCACTGACGTAAGTTTCACTGACAAAAGTGCTGGTATGGACAGTGCTATGTTGGCAGGACAGCTCTCTCCTGCTAGCATAGAGCGGCTACACAGGAGACCTTACAGTAGCACAAAGTCCGTAGTGTAGACATAACCTCTGGAGCACTCTGATAGGGTTTGTAGCCTCCATATGAGCAGTGCTTTCAAGCTCTTCCATCAAGGCATGAAGGTACAGAAGGTAGAGTAAGAGCCAAAGTTGTAGCCAGGTCTAAGGAGACAGCCCTCTGTCACCTGACTAGAGACCTATTGCTGACCTTCCCAGGGGCCAGAATTCTTCCATTATGTCCCTCTGCAGACAAAGGGCTCAGCAGTGTTCCATGCTGGGGTACAAACCAAGCAGCAAACGTTTCCAACTCCTGCCTCCCACTGGATCAGAATGGAAACTACTGCTCTCTGCCAGAACACCAGCTAAAACTTCCTCCAAGAGAGCACTGCTACTCCAGTTTCAATTCTCCAGTCACAACTGCTATCCCCACAACTGGAGGAAGGAGGGAAATGAACTCAGTTCTTCTGTCACAACTTCCTTACCGAGGCTAACTCTTGATGCAATAACTTCTCAATGCAACACTGCTCCTCCTGGGACACCACAGAACTCCTCATTCAGCTCTGTGTCTCCAGTGAGGCTTTGGTACATCAGGGGCTCCCTATGGCAGAAATTTCAGCGAAGCTAATGAACTGCTGATGCTTCATTACAGAAGAACTGGCATCCACTAGCCCAAGACCCCATCCACAACCAGACATGCTAAACCTGCAAAAAAAACTACAGAAATTGGGCTTGTTTTTGGCTTAATTAGCTTGTGAGTTGCTTGTTGGCTAGTTTTTGGCTTGTAGCTTTATGCTTCTTTTTTTCTGATCAGCTCCTGGCAAGCAGGGGCAAGGGGGGGAAGCAGGGTGAGAGAGTCAGGGGTGCACAGCAGGCCCACCAGTCCCAGACTGCACACTAGGGGATCTAGTCACATAAAGTATTGGGGTTCTTAGGGATTGGCTTGTTTTGAAATGGGATTAGCTTCATTTTTAGTTTACTGTGAAAATCGGGGTGCTTATTTACCATGTGAAAGTTGGCAACTGTGTCCACAACCCTCTTTCCCTTTCCCACCACAAGTCTGCCTCACATCCCCTTACTGTACGCAGTGTTGTAGCTATGTCAATCCCAGAATTTGGTTCAATAAAAGATATAAACTCATCCACCCTGTCTCTCTCACTTCCCCTTGTAACTCCCCATACAGCTACGAGGTGATGCACCAAGGGACAGAGCTGAGTAGAGTGGGGATGGGAATTTAGCAACATTCAGAGAGGCACTGAATAATATCTAGTTATCATTAATAATTTTTTTTGGAAGGGCTATTAAATCTTATACTTGGTTTCAGCCCATCTCTAACTGTGAGAAATCAGGATGTGAACTAATGGGGGACAGAGTACCACAGATCTGCCTACACCAGGTTTCTTGCACCTGCCTCTGAAGGATCTGGTACTGGCCCCTCTATGAGAAAGCACTCTTGACCCCAGCTCTGATCCAGCAGGGCTGTTCCTACAAGAGCCTGATAACAACCTGACTTCAGGGAAAATTTCAAAAAGGGTTTCTCTAAATTTCACCTGCTTAAGTTACATTAGTAACCTTTGGCTAAGAAAATTTACCTGTTCAGGGTGTATATTAAATATAGAGATTAAACACAGGAAGTAGTGTGTATTAAAAGGATTAATCATCCTTTAAAGACAAATTTCAACGCAACTTCAATTCTCGGCTGTTAAGGTAACTTCAGCATTACTCAAGTCACAATTCATTGGAGGGTTCTGAAAGACAGATGACTAAACTGTGAGCTGTAGCAGATGGGGAATCAGTGGAGAAGGAGAATACAAGACAGACTTGCAACTCTCTGGGAGAATTATAAAATGGAATTAAGGTTGTCTGAGTGCTTGTGTCTGGTAATTGAAAACATTTAATGTTTTGTGTCATTTCAATATTAAGGTTGGTGTGACAAACTATGAAGCTGGAAACCAGATACTATAGGGAGGGGTTGCAATAGAGGAAGATGGGGAGCCAAACTAAGGGAAGCAGTAAGAAGATAAATTTAAGGGTGGTGGAGGAGGAATAATCAGCAAAGGTGTACAAAGGGAGCTCAGGACTGGACAAGTAGGAGGGTCTGTGGGTTGGAACTGAGCTTCAAGTGAGACCAGAAGTAGAAGGTGGTTGTGGAAGAGAAACTTAGTTTATTATAGGTTTTGGAGTAACAGCCGTGTTAGTCTGTATTCGCAAAAAGAAAAGGTGCCACAAGTACTCCTTTTCAGTTTATTATGATTTTACAACACCCCATTCTGTGCACAGCTCCAGGTGTTAAACCTGTTAGACCCAGGATGCCATTCCTTCCAGGATGCACATGGCTAGCTCTCACAGGTCTGCTCCTAGCGGTGCTTTCCAGTGCGGTTGAAGCGTCTGTATAGGAACCTGATCCTTTTGTTAAGGTTCTTGTAATCCTGTTCAAACATTCGGTGTCCTACAATTTGCTTCTTGCGGATGCATCTTTGTAGCTCATTTCCCCTCCAGCCTCGCAGCCACCTGGGCCCTGTGATCAAGTCCTTGGGGTGAATGTGGAAGTCTCCTGAGGAGGAAGGGGTAAGTGGGAAACAGATGCAAGTAACAGGAAAACAAACCCAGGGTAGCAGAAATGTTAGCCCCAGGTACCATCAACTTCAATTCATTCTGACACCATTACATTTTCCCCAGCCCCAGAGTAGGACTAACCTCTACCCTCCTGACCCCCTGATTTGGAGTTCCAGTTATTTTCCCTTCTCCCGTGATATCTTCAGACCCACACTTGGTCACTTACCTAGAATTCCTATATTGTCATAGACCCCAAATAAGGCTCGTTTCTCTGTCCAGCGATCAACCTCTTTAGGTTCAGGGGGCAACTTCACATGGATCCAGCTGGAGACCCCTTGAAACGGAAAAGATAGCTGAAGAACTACATTATCAGTAGAAGGGCCTGACCCTGCAGGTCGCCCTTGCCTGGCCGGGAGGGCAATACAATGTCAGGGTGCGTGCCCCGCTCACCACAGTGGAGGCTCCTCGCGGCCTGGAGCAGAGACAGGCTACGGCCCAAGAGGCCCCATCTTGCCAGCTGCAGCAGAGGCCCCATTGTCCACCCTGCAAAGACAGAGCCCCGGTCACCAGAGCGGCCCCGACAGAGCCCGCGCAGCAAGGGCGGGACGACCGGGCATGCGCTCCCCGCTCCCTTCCCCCAGGAACCACGGGGCACAGACCGGGCAGGCCCGACTGGAGCGAGGGACTTAGGGGCAGCCCAAGCCCCGCCGAGACACAGCCATCTTGACTGGCTGCTGCTTCCCACAATGCACCGCTCCCCGCGCGGCCTGTCCTGACGCACCCGGTATCCCTGGCCACGGGTCCAGACCAAAGCAACGATAGGTGCTGTCCCCGGACGCCCCTCCCTGACTATGAGCCCGGGCTCGAAAGATTCAAACCCTCTGCCCCCGCCCCCGCCCCCGCCTTACCAGCGCCACAGACCAGGCGTTGGGCGGCCGAGATCTGAGAGGTGGAAGGAGCCTCTGGGGTGTGATTGGTTGTTGGGTTCCAACCGCCCTCTGATTGGCGCCGGTAACAAGGAGGCGGTTGTAATTCGAATGCGGGAAGAGTTGACGGGAACTCGGCTGTTCGGAGGTGGGTAATTGGATGGAGGTGAGCAAAGCGGTCTGTGCTGTGATTGGCTCCCTGGTTTTCCGCGGGCGCTGATAGGCGGAAGCTGGGGGTGATTGTGTTTGCCCGGGCGCCGCGCGGTTTGACCGTTTGGAGGAGGCTCTTGGGGTAGGGAGGCAAGGTGCCGCCGCCCTGTTCCTGGGCAGCTGGGAGATGCCGTCGCTGTCGCTGCTCCCCTGGGAGTTCCACCTGCCCCTGTCCCCGGGCGATCTGCTCCGGAGCGGGGGCCCCGCGCAGTACGTGGTGCAGGAGGTGCTGTCTCTAGCCCAGGTTGCTGTGCAGTTGGCGGGTAAGAGGCGCGGCTCTTTCTCTCCCCCCCCCCCGGGCTGTGCGGTTAGTAGCGGTGCCGCCTCTCACGTTATGATTGTGACTGGCAATTTTGGGAGTGTTTTTCCTGGCCTCATGAAAACGGATTCTCCCTTATTCAAAATGGCCGCCATCTCCCTTTGCTGTCAATGGGGCTGAAGCCAGCAAAATGGGCGCCATCTCCCGACGTTCTGGCGGCGTGTGGGAGTGAGGCTGCCTTTGGGAAAGTTGGCTGCGCTCTCCAACCGTTTGTGGTAGGTTTCAGAGGGGTAGCCGTGTTAGTCGGTATCAGCGAAAACAACGCGCCCTGGCTGATGATGGGTTCTGCTAGATAATGATCCAAAGCAGAGCGGAGGGACGCATGGCAACAAAAATGATTAGGGGTCTGGAACACATGAGTTATGAGGAGAGGCTGAGGGAACTGGGATTGTTTAGTCTGCAGAAGAGAAGAATGAGGGGGGATTTGATAGCTGCTTTCAACTACCTGAGAGGTGGTTCCAGAGAGGATGGTTCTAGACTATTCTCAGTGGGGGAAGAGGACAGGACAAGGAGTAATGGTCTCAAGTTGCAGTGGGGGAGGTTTAGATTGGATATTAGGAAAAACTTTTTCACTAGGAGGGTGATGAAACACTGGAATGCGTTGCCTAGGGAGGTGGTGGAATTTCCTTCCTTAGAAGTTTTTAAGGTCAGGCTTGACAAAGCCCTGGCTGGGATGATTTAATTGGGGATGGGTCCTGCTTTTGAGCAGGGGGTTGGACTAGGTGACCTACTGAGGTCCCTTCCAACCCTGAGATTCTATGATTCTATGTTCATTTTCATTATGTGAGTCAGATGCCACCAGCAAAAGTTGATTTTCTTTTTTGGGTGGTTCAGGTTCTGTAGTTTCTGCATCAGGGTGTTGCTCTTTTAAGACTTCTGAAAGCATGCTCCACGGGTCATCTCTCTCTGATTTTTGGAAGGCCATTCAGATTCTTAAACCTTGGATCAGGTGCTGTAGCTATCTTTAGAAATCTCACATTGGTACCTTCTTTGTATTTTGAGAAATCTGCAGTGAAAGTGTTCTTAAAATGAACAACATGTGCTGGGTCATCATTGGAGACTGCTGTAACATTATATATACGATAAAATGCGTGTAAAACAGAGCAGGAGGCATACAGTTCTTCCCCAAGGAGTTCAGTCACAAATTTAATTGACACTTTTTTTTTTTTTTACAAGTGTCATCAGCATGCATGCATGTCCTCTGGAATGGTGGCCAAAACATGAAGGGGCATACAAATGTTTAGCATATTTGGCACGTAAATACCTTGCAAAGCCGGCTACAAAAGTGCCATGCAAACACCTGTTGTCACTTTTAGGTGACATTGTAAATAAGAAGCAGCCAGCATTATCTCCCATAAATGTAAACAAACTTGTTTATCTTAGCTGTTGGCTAAACAAGAAGTAGGACTAAGTTGAGTTGTAGGCTCAAAGTTTTGTTGTTTTGTTTTTTGAGTGCAGTTATGTAACAAAAAAAAATCTACATTTGTAAGTTGCACTTTCAGGATAAAGAGATTGCACTACAGAACTTATATGAGGTGAATTGAAAAATACTATTTCTCTTGGGTTTTTTTACAGTGCAAATATTTGTAATCAAAATAATATAAAGAGAGCACTGTATATTTTGTATTCTGTATTGTAATTGATGTCAATATATTTGAAAATGTATAAAAACATCCAAAATAGTTAATAAATTTCAATTGGGATTCAACAGTGCAATTAAAACTGTGATTAATTGTGGTTATTTTTTTGAGTTAATTGCATGACTTAACTGCAATTAATTGACAGCCCTAGTAAATACATGTAAAAAATTGAGAGGATTATTGAAAATTAGGGAGGACTGGCATCTGTGCTTCATGGATGGTCCTGTAGTAATGAGATAGTGTCCTGGGGCAGCAGAAGTCAGTAGAGCGGGGAATTGGGAAAATGTTGATACTGGATCTGGGGCACTGAGCTCTGCAACAACACTTACCTTCTCCCACTGTCTTGGGACTTCTCCTCTACTTGACATCCAAGCAGAAGAGAAGCCCCAGGGGAGCCAGCAAGTCAGAGACCTGATGCTGTTGGATCCAGGGAAGAGGTTGGGGGAGGACACTTCAGGCAGTGAGGCAGGTAACCAGAGGAGTCCAGACAGTAATAGACAATGGATGTCTGTTCCCACATCTTATGGGTGAGGAGAGGATAAGTGGAGTCTCCATCTGAGCTGCCAGAGAGGGGTGTCCATTTTCTGTCCATTGAAGGTTGTCTTTTCATCCTGAAATTATTACATATAGCCAAAAGAGTGGAGGGGAGTTAAAAAATCAAGAGGCTAAAAAAAAGTTTAATAGCTTTTGTTTTTTTAAATCTCATGATTTTGTGGGGCCAATCTCATGACTTTTCGGCATTTGTTTCATGATTTTTGATCTCTTGCAGTTGGCAATATTGTGTTAATTGTGTCTCCCCGTCTCTTCAGAATTCCGGGAGGCATTCCGGGTGCAGGGGCCACTGGCCATCCTGCAGCACTTTGACACCCTCTACAGTCTGCTCCAGTGAGTATACCCCGACTTGCGGGGGTGAGGGGGAGTGGCTTGGTCATGGGTTTCAGGGATGATGATCAGTGGTAGTGAGCACTGCTGCTCTTGCTCCTACCAAGGGTTCAGGAGAACAGAGTCCTGGGTATGTCTGCAGAGGTATCCAGATGGGGCTAGGTCAGTTAAGCACTGCTGGGCCTGCACATCACAATTGTACCCATCTGACTGAGCTGGACACCCCTGTCCCTGCAAACTTCTTATCCACAGGGTTCTGAGCCCCTGGCCAGGTCCGTTTATAGATGCCTCGTCTTCCTGAGTGCAGTGGGGCCTGATGCTGTGAGTGGCATAAACCCATCCCCACCCTATGGTTATCCCACTGGGATACTAGTTGTTAATGTTTGTTATTACATTACTTGTTTAACTGGTTACTGCAAATCCTATCTTGGGAAGGAGAGAGTGTTAAGCTGAACCAAGGGAGAAGTTTGGGAACCATTCCCAGTGCTGAGGGATCTATGAGCATAGACACCTCACTGCTGGGAATTGGGAGTTCCTGGAGGAAAGGGACTGTTACAGCTGGGCAGGAAACAGATTTCCTATCTCACCAATATTTTAGGTAGGCCATTTTGTCTCTGTCTCTCTCTCTCCTTTTTTCCCCCCCTTCAACATCAGGACAAAACTGACACCTTTTGATGTGTGTGTGCATGTGTGATACAGCTGTTTTGAGTTTATTACAGGATAATTTGGTTTTTCTGGGTGGCTGGTTGTTAAATAGCATTGAGTGATGGTTTGTGTATGTTAATTCAGTCTTAAGGCTGGAGTGAAAATTGCTTGTCAGCTTATTTTGCAGTTTGGATAGTTTGTAGTGGAAAAACCTCTTGATTTGTACTAGTCTAGGTCTGCAAAACTTTTGCTGGCATTGCTCTGTCAATAAGGGGTATATAATGGTATCCTATACTTGGCAAAAACTAGACAAGGCCTTAGTTACCATATTATAACTTTTTGCATTGCCTTTGTCTTTTGTAACTTTTTGTGTTCGTACAATATCAGACTCTCACTAGTTCAAATAATTTGCATTTCCAGACCATAGCTAAGTGTTTGGTACTCAGAAGTGAAGTGGTATTTGCTTAATAAGCTTATTCAATAAGCAATAAATTCTGATTGCTCACCTAGATCCATTCTTTTGTTTACATTTTGTTTATAACATTTTAAAATGTTCTATGAAATCTTTGTGTACGTGTAGAGGCCTGTTTTGGAGGTGCTGATGCACTATAGTAAGAGTTTTGCTCTTAATGTAGGTGTTCAGTCCGTTACCTGAGGAAGAATATAGTGTATCCTCCCAAAACTCTAGCACATACGTTTTGAGTACCGAATTTTCTGAGAAATTACAGGTAAATCCATCAATGAGTTAAAATCAGTTAGATTAGTTCTTTTGTCTCCAAATTCTCCAGGGAAACTCTCTGCGGAACCGATTTGAACCGTCTCATAAATTGAGCCCTCTAGTCACAAATGTGGGCAGGTTGGGAGAGGACTGGGTTTAGAAGACAAGTCTAGAGTTGCTTCTGAAGACTCTTGTGTTACAACGTTGAACTAGACCTAGTGCCAGTGGTCATCCTGTATTTTGTCATCTGTTGTCTGCCTCACAGCCATTTCCGATCCGTAAATGTTGCAGTCAAGGAGGATGCCCTGGAGCTGATGGGGAAAGGTAGGTATGAGGACCCTTCTCCCCTTGTGGAGGGGATGGTGAGATGTTTGCTTCCTCCCTGCAGCTTTATGATGAAATGAAGGCAAATGTGACCCCATTGGCCGGGCTGCACCCTCACCCATCCCTGATACAGGTCTGTAATCTTGGCAGGCAGTGCAGAGTCGTGTGCGTTCGCTGTAAGGGCAGACCGACAGGAAGTCCCATTTTCCATTTCATTCCTGGCAGGAGATATGCCTGCCCCTAGCAAGTGGTCCTAGGAGCTGGGCAGGATGTGGGGACAGGGTAAACTTAGCATCTCTGGGTCCTGGGTCACAGGGTGTAGCCCAAATTATGGCTGGTGAGGCATGAGCACAGTTCTTTG